ACGTTTAGGAGGAACTCCCGTGGAACGGCACCAATTGAAAGCTAGCTCTCTGACAGAAGGCAAGAGAAAAGGCCCCGCGCGAAACACAGCGTGCCCGTGAATCAGCACACCCGAGACAAATGCGTCCCCGCCTTGGCCTCGCGACGCCTGGTCGGAGCGCGTTCGGGGCCGGATGGAGCCGGGCTCGTTGGCACAGACGGGCGCTCTGTTCGCAACATTGGTTTGCATGGCGGGTTGCCCAAATGGGCCAGACAGGTTGGTTGGTTGGTGGAAAGCCTGCAGCTGCCCTGTCTTTGTACCCTCGTGTTCAGCCAGGTTTCGATGGTTCGGTTGGCCGTGAGTACGTCAGCCCAAAGACGGCATGCTTTGTGCCAAATGGCTGGTAGATGTCTTGTTTTCTTGTTGGTTTCTGTTGGTGGCGAAGTACCAGCTATCCAACAAACAGGGACCCCCGGACATGTGGGAGGATGGTTCAGTGGGTTCCACCCTTTGTTCCCCTTGTTTATTCACCCACCACGGTCCACCGGATTCTCCGGGTGTCAGATTCTCAGCGTCAGTTGCCAGGTGGCCAGCGGGTGGATCTTCAAGCTGGACTCGCTCTATGGCTTGGAGATCCTCAACCAGCCCGGGGCCCGGGTCGACTCGCGGGCTTCGACCGGAGGCCAACGTGAGTGGAGGGGGGGGAGGTGAGGCCCTTAGGACGCCAAAGGAAAACAACCATTTCAAAGGTTTTCGCAATCACAAATTTAGTCAGGGTTGCTTTTTTGCAAGCAACAGGGAAATCCAGCTGGCCACCGCCCTACAAGGATCCCTTTGTGGGAGAGTTCCTATGCTTGTTTTCCAAATGGTTGTGGCGTACGGACGTACGTACCCCTGTACTTCCTGATGAAATGACCGTGCTCGGTTTCTTTTTTTTTTTTTTTTTATATGAGGTTCCTCCTTTTTGTTTGCCCTGTTTGATTGGTGTTCACGTTTTGTGCAATGACCCATCCCCTAGCAAAAGAGACATATCATCTCCCCCTATTCATAAATGCAACCTAGTACATCTACTTTTCCCAGACCCCAAATCTCCCAATACTAACCGATATAAAGCATTTACATGTCCCGCCGATCCAAGCTCGAGTCATACTAGAGGACATTTTAGAAACAGTACCAAGCCATGTGTTTCTTCCTTTAATTTTGTATTTAGCATGAAATATAAAGCAGCCCGCACTTCCACCTTTCCCCAAGCCAAAGCACATGTAACATATTAACACCCCCTGGTCATAAAGGTTCTCAAACAATAACTCTCGCTCCGCTCCACGCAGGTCATGTTTTTACTTTTTGTTGGCCGGGGGTGCATTTATCGGTAGGGGCAAGTAATTAGCTTCTTGTTATCTAGGAGCTTGATTTGCCCAACCCAGCAGACGGATCTAAGGGCCCATGCTTTGACTCGCATTTAATGCGAAGACCAAGCAGATGCAAGTGTGAGCAACCCTGTTGTGCCAGGAAAGTCAGGAAGGTGAGCCCAACCAGAATAGCACACAGCGTGTTTAGATGGTTTTTTTAGCAATACGAGACCCCGGCTGGCCTTAGTATTGGCTTATATATAGCTGGCCCTACCTTGATCTCACCCTACTTGCCTTCCCAAACCTTGGTGTGTCAGAACACGTGGTCTTTGGCACAGCCTACTCGAACTCATGCACCGACACGATGGGCATAGCCCAGGCATGAGCGCATCGGCGACCTGTCCATGCTTTCTTGGGAGCTGTGTGAGGCTCGGAAGTAGGCCATGATGCCGGCGAGTTCTCCTTTGAGGACTTTCAACATGGCAGTGGCTTCAGAGCTTCCGTCTGGCTCTCTCTCATCATTTTCCAGCGTCGTGTACTTTTCCCTTCCGCGCATAGGGCCCAACGGACCCCTCACCTGGCCCCTTCCCTATCCAGTCGAGGCATTTGGAAAGTCGGGCCTGTTCTCATGCACCCCGGAAATGCTTGGTTTGAGGCATGGCTAATAGACCATCCAAGGTGCTCTCAATTTTAGGAACCCCACATATTCTCCGAATGACACCGCATCTCAATTCACGCAGTGATCAGTGCAGCGCCTTAACAGCATGTCCTCTACGTTTTGAACGTGTTGACGAGGGCATCCTGATACAAACATCTGTGGTACTGGGTGGCAGGCCTGACAAAGAACCTACCCAGAAGTATCACCTCTAGGGGAAGACGAGGAATATTGCTGTTTTGCAGCCACTCTTTTGAGCCTATCAACATGTCGCATACCTCATGTTTTCTTGGTACTTTCGGGCACGTGGGTTTGTGTCAAACCCAACGACTAAACAATCAATGGCTTGAAGTTTGCAGGGGTCGGCCAAACCCTGGCCAACGCGGGCCTTGAACGACAAAGACCCGTCTCCCAAACACGGCAAGCAACAAGAGAGACAAGGACACGCGCTTCCGGATGGCAACTTGGAAACATGGCGTCTGACATCTTCTAGGTGATTGTCACAATAGCACGCAAACAAGCATGGGTCGCATGGGCTTTCTGAAAACGCGCGTTCATTGGCTAAATACAGGATTGCTTGGTGAATCAGGATGGCTGTCCGCCCTGGCATGTGTGGAAGATGTCGTAGGCCTGCTAGAGTAATCACGACCCTTTCATTTGGCCCGCCTCTCAATTTGCTGATTCGTCTTCTTATAGCCTGTTTCGCTTCCTGGGTCCAAAAGACAGGAACCAAACCATTTCCCTTACTCCAGTCTTGAGAGGTGGAGGCGTTGCTGGTGTGCGCCTACTTCAGACCACCAGCCTTTTGGCTGATTGGGAGAGCTGGATCACCATGTTTGTCGTTTTGCACCGGGGGCAATCGCCAGACAGAATTCATGCACCGTACCCACCCCCCTTCACGTACTCCAGGTTAGCTCCCGATCCTCCTAAACTTTTGGCAAGGCTTTTGAGACGTTGGTTGAACAGCTCCGAGAATGCACGAATTGGTTGGCTTTTTGGCAAAAAGCTCCTTGACAAAAAGCTCCTTGACCTTTGAATTTCTCCGACTTGACAAGCGAGTTGTCCAATCTTACAACTGGTGGGACAAAAATCCCATGCGGCTGTGTCTTGTTTGAGGGTAATTGTGGTTGCAATGGAATCCAAACAGAACACTCACCATTTTGGCCCGCGAAAAAGATTCACTTACGTAAATGATTGCCAGCAAAGAGTCCCCTTTTCTCCGGAAAGACCAGCATTGGACAATTGAGCATTTGCAAAGAACATCATCAGATCACCACCACCACCACCACCACCACCACCACCACCACCACCACCACCACCACCACAATCGTCATCAGCATATCAGCAGCATCATCATCATCAGCATCATCATCAGCATCAGGCTTGAAAAGCGTATTCTACGAATTTTGAGCTGGCCCTCGGCGCGCCGTAGAGCACCTTTAAGGGGGAAGCGTACCACACAGCTGCCAGCCACTGGGCCTTCAGCGTTCCATGCTTCAGTCGTTCTCAGTCCAAAAAAACAAATCGAAGGGGGGACCCCGACCAAAACGGTTGTGCCTTTAAAGAGAAATGTCTCGGAAGCCACCAAAAGAATTGCAACGCTTCCGAGCAACTGCTTGCGGGCTTTGAACGGCCAACCGAACGCTCGTCCCAGAAATGGGTTGCATTGTTGCTGCGGGGTTGGGGTCCACAATTGAAATATTTCAAGGGCTACCCCAATAAATTGCCCGCCACGCCCCCCTTTCCCTTAGGGACGGGGATTGTCCGAAGCATGCCGCTTCGAAACCAATGCTTGGAGGTTCAAGCAAGTATGTGGGTAGAAAGGCAAAAAAAACACAGGGAGACAAGTGGAACATCTGAGATGGGTTGACTTATAATCCTGAGTAAAGCCTACCGACTACATAGGTAGCACTTCCAAGTAGAGCTCCGAGCTTGCCTTCGTGCTGCACGTTTGTATCACTTGGGGCGAGAATTTGTGGAACACGCAGCATGAACAAGGAGAGTCCACGACTCGGCAATTTCTATGGAGCTGAAGCCATGGATTCACTAAAAAAGGTCTTCCCCAAAAAGGGTTCTTTTTTTTTCCAGGGTCACTGAACAACTGAGGCAACGGTAAGCCAAGCTGTCAGCCGTTGGTTTTTGCACGCAATCGGCGATGCGAGCCGATGCGACGGCCGAGGAGATGAAGATTTGGCACTTTGCTCGGCGCTGGTGTGTCGAAGGAGCTGCAAGATGTGTTGCGATGTGCAGAGAAGACTTGTGTTTTCACTTGCAGCTTATTTGTGCTTTCCCTTTGCAGAAGCTGATGCTTGTAGGGGTGTACTATGTGTGCTGAATTGAATTCGAATGAAGTGACTGACGGTGAGTCAATTGCTGAGGTCTTCGGGTTGATTACCAAATGTTTCTCTTTTTAATATCCCCACCCCTCTAAAAAATATGCAGTTGGGGAGGGGGGGAAAAATATCCATTGATGGTTCCATTTCCCTTTTATCCCCCACCTTTTTATATTCTTGAATCCACCCATTGAATTGTATGCAGAGAAGTATCTCTGCATGAGGCAGTAGCATAGATCCGACTTCAGCCTCATTTAGCCGTCCCTCTCGGCTGCCGTTGCTTCTTCTTACCCCGCACCACCCCATGGAAGATGAGTCAGTCCAAAGGACTGACTCCACGCCCGGTATGTCTCATTCGAGGCAAGTCTCGCAAACATTCCTTGACGGCATACTGAGGATGTGCAAAGGGCGGAGCACCTTTTGAGTTGACTCGTTTTGCTTTTATGAGTCCTGCTTGGGGAGCCCGCATCTGGACGTGTGAGGAATGGGTTTGCTATGGTTTGCCCTAAAAACCAAGGAGGAGGCAAGTCTGGACATGTGAGGAATGGGTTTGTTCTAAAAACCAAGGAGGAGGCAAACTTTCAGGGTTTACTTGGTCTCCGAAAAGCCTCGAGAGCTGAATATTCCCTCACCAGTCAACTCAGCTGGTCACGTACATCCCAGTGCTTCCAGTCCCCACAGTAGGTAACCAGGTATTGAGACTGCATGATGATTTTGCCCGAATCCACCGAATCCACCGAAATTGGAAGCACGGGGAGTGATGTCCACAAACCCCCCAGAAAACAAAAGGGAACCGTAAAAAGCGAGCTGCGCTCGGGATTTTTCGCGTGGTCAATTGTGGAGGAGCCGGTGCGCCTGCTTTCAGCGAGGAGGGTGCCGAGCGCCAGGCAATTCATTGCTCAAGTCGACAGCCTACGCCTTGGAAGCATTCTGTCATTTAAGACAGAATGCAATTATCAAAGACAGTCCCTCCTTGGTGTGGTAAGCAGATTCTCAGAAACATCAAGCGAACACAATTGAAACTGGAGTTTTGCGACCCAAAGGCTCTTTTGAACGACAAATGTCCCTTTGAATGAGGAAACTTGTGCACGTACATGCTGGTTGGTGGAAGGGTGCCTCCACTTGATAGGTACCCCAACCTATGTGTATGCATATATAAATATATATATATATATCTATATAATGTATATATATATATGGAGATATATCTTTACACCTACATATGCATTTGCAAGTCATGTCTGGTTTCCCTGGCAAGCCAACAGTGAAAATGAAGCCACCACGCCACCAGCCAAGAGAAACAATGGGAACGTCACACAGTTTACTGGTGCTTCAGGCCCCAATGTAGTCACCACGCAGGCGCTTAGTTTCCCTGCTTTGGCTCCACGTCAGGATGGGCTTCTGAACAATCCAGCCCATCAGTGGTGATTTGAGATCAATTACCCAAGAAAAAGTGCATCAAATCCAAAATAAAGAAAGTGCTCAACAGCCAGCAGCTGGGAAAAGAATTGACGGTGCCGTGCCAAGAAGAGGTGTGGGGGGGGGCGTCCCCGTGACAGGCGCCGTGGGGCCGGGAGGAGATCGACGCCGCCATCTCCAAGGCACGGCTCGGGCGAGTCGACGTGGCTGGGCTGAGAAGGAGCTCGGGCGGGTTCGGGGCCACTTTCCCCTTTTTGGGGAAACCTCCAAAAAACTGGCAGTTTCAAGGGAAAGCACCGGTCCAAAAAAGTTGGAGGGGAATCCAGTAACCCCCGTCAGGGATTAATACACCCCAGAAGCCAGTCATCAGGGAGTGTTTGTTTTAGTGGGCATTGCTTTACTTGGGGAGCCGCAAACTTAATGACTGGGGGTTGTTAATCATGTTAATCAAGGGTCGACAGAACAGTCAAGCGAGGTGCCATATTCCAGTTTATAAGCTTTGGTGACTTGCCAGGGGGTACAACAAGCCAGGGCCCCATCACACCGATTTTTAGTGGCCTAAGCTTTTGTGGTGAATTGTGTTTCGCCTGGCTGGGCTCCTAGGAGCCCTACATGGCCAACCCACCAGGATGTGAGTCTAGTGTGTGTGGAACGGGCAGCTGGGATTGTTTGAAATGCTGGGTCTACTTTCAGGTCTTTTGAACATGGAATCACGATGTTCACGTCTTATGACAACTCGGTCTTGCTTGAGTCTTGTTTTCTTCGCCTTTTCTAAGTGTGTCCATGTTGTCCCCCTGTGTTTCATTCTGTCCTCCTGTTGTTCTTTGTTTCCGTAGTGTCAGCAGTATCCTGCCCTGTGTGTTTTTGTGTATTAAATTATCTCTTTTGCCTTAGCCTGCAGTACCCTGCCTTTTTTCTTTCTTGTTGGTTGCTTGCTTGTTTTGCCGGGATTCGATTCGGCAGAGCGCAGGGGCTGATCTGGGATCTCTTACCTCCGAAGGAGGACTTGGCTTGGGCCCCGGCGTCAGCGCAGAGATCAAGCTGGAAGATGATGTCTACGCTTTTGTTGTTTTGCCAACTTTTTCAGGTTGGTTGAGAGTTGAAAGGGAAACCAAAGGAGCAGTGAAAGGAGCAGTGCAATTTGTTGGGGCAAACTCTGTTTTGACACATAATTACCAAGGGCACCAGAAGGACGTTTTGCACATTTGGCGTCTCCCCCGGACCCGTTTTTAGAGGCTGGCCGGCACGACACGTAATTGGCTGGGAGCTGGGGTCCAAGTTTGCTAGCAAAAGGAAACCCCTGGGTCCAAGGTGTGTCTTTTAAAGAGGGAACCTTTCTTGGGGTGCTTGAAAAGGGAAACCATGAAAACTAGAGAAACCCTGATGCATTGCCGGACTTGGGCCTCTTGCCGATCCTTTCGCATCCTGCCGTTTGGGTCACTTTTTCCGGCATCCTGTTGGGCCTTCGTTCCGCTCAGGTTGCCCAGAGCGCCGAAATTTCCAGGCGCCGGGGGTTTGATGCCGGCGGTGGCTTTCCCGAAGGCCAAACCAGGGGCTAAATGAACCCCCTGGTTGTTGGGGGGTTTGTCTAAAGTGTCCTTCTGGTTGGAATGCAAAAGAATCCCAGAGGAAACTGGGCCCTACATTCTGGATTGGACCAAGGTGAAGCCAAAGGGGATGTCAAGTTTGATATCTCGTTTCTAGACCCCCTTGTTTAGCACCCGACTGCGCCCAGCTGCGTGTCAGTTTGCCAAATGTTACAAACTGATATCATGGGTGGCTCTGGATGCGCCCAGCGCCTCTACAGGAAGGAAAGTGCTGCTGGGCTGACGGCTGAGACGCGAAAGCAAAGCTGTTTGATTGGCCCATCCTCCCTTCCAGGACTGATCCTTCAGGATGCGGTTTGAAGATCGGAGGGTGTTTTTTTTTCTGCCCGCTTCCATGACATGCGAAAGGGGAATCATGATTGTCGTGCAGGGCTTTTTCAGAAACCATAAACATACCCCCTGTGTTGCCTTGCCATATTCTACACAAATGGATCTTTGGAAAACTGTTTGGACAGTACAGCTAGGAAGTTGGTTGCAAGGAGAATGGTTCTCATCCAGGCCATGCTTGGGTGGTTTCGGAAAACTAACCAACCCCCTAAGGCACGCAGACGCAGAGGAAGTTCACCTGAAGGGTTTAGCAGCAAACCGAGCACCAATCGCTTTGCTTTCAGAGCAAACTGCAAATTGCCAGTCTACGAACCAGATGTCAATGATGCTTGGGAGGTTGCCAAGGCCTTTCAGAAAGCTGCGATGCCTCATACACTTGAGCCTTTTCTCTCTCTCTCTCTATCTCTATCTCTCTGGCGTTCAGCGGTCCGCGTCGCCTCATGCAAAACAAGCTCATTGAGAGGGTCATCACTTGCGCCTTCCCAGATTCACAAGCTCTGAGTTGGGCAAACTTTCGCTCCCGCGGCCCTTTGGCTCAGCCCGCCTCTCAGCCTCTCGTGTTCGGCGTTGCTCCAGGCGGGGAGGTCCACGGGCCTTTGGCGCCTGTTTGGTTGGAACAAAAAGACACCCGCAGGAAACCTGTCGGGGTATTGGAAAATGTGTGGGTTTAGAAGAGGTCACACAATGTTAAGGGGATGGATAGATACTGTTGTATTTTCCAGGCCCATTATTTGGCACTTTGGCACCTCTGAGTGCTTGTGGGTTCCGCTTGTGAAGGGTACCTCGTGTTCACGGGGTATCTTAAGGCTAAGAGCCATTCGTGAAGTTAAGGTCCTGAGGTCTTCGCATGCCAAGCAGGCCGTGTCCTTGCATTTCCCGTTTTGGATCCATCAAACGCCTAGCTGTCGAGTTGGAATGTGTCTTTTGGGTTGGGTGCCATGTGTGAGACGTGCGCAGGGAACAGAACCATGGCCCAGGTCGAAAAAACTCATAGGCGAGCCATGCTGCCCAATGGGTCTGGCTTGCAAGGGCAAAGGTCTAATTCCATTGATGAACCAGTGGCCATTGTTTACTTCACTGTTCTTGGCATGTTTTATTGTTTCATAGTTTTTTAGTTCTGTTCATTTTTACTGGGGGGTCTGCAAAAAACAAAGATTTTAGCTACCATACCAAGAGTAGAGATGTTTAAGTTTCCGGTTGCAAGACAAAGGATTCTCTGGCCTACATTCGGCAATGATCCAGGGCTACAATCAAATGTGCAACAGGCTTTAGGAGCATGTGCGCGACTTCGAAGCCCATGTTGTACCTCTCATAAGCTGGTGGGACACTAGTTTTATGCCATGATGCATATCTCATATAACACACACACACACACGTATATATTTGCTGCGTATCTATATATGTATATCTTGTGTATGCAAACATGGTGCCGCTTTGGGGCCAAGCTGGCGTTTTGACATGAAATTGGGTATCGCGCAGGTTCCTCAGCTCATCGGACCATGGCGGGTGCTCAAACCTCCGAGGCCAGTCACTTCGGGGGTGTGGTGCTTTCTTTGTGGGCAGTCAGGGCGACCTTAGTTGGTGGTTTGGGTTGGTGGGTGTGGATTTGGATGCGAACCCCTGTTTTTGGAAGAGGTATAAATCCACTAAGCCACCAATTAATTCAAATAAACAATCAGAGGGGAAGCTGAATGTAGGTCCTTTGTCTGAGGTTCCCTTTGAATACCAACTAAGGCGACGAAAGCAAAAAGGGGCAATAGTGCAATTGCGTACATTTTTGCTGACTGCATTTGGGCCCGTCTTTTCGGGAACCCTTCAAAGGGTTCCCCCCTTTTCCAGCGTCACTGGGCAATTGGGACATGTCTCAAAGTTGCTGGCAAGCAGAGGTAGCGGCAGAAGGTTGGGGAACACCTTTTTTGGTTGGGGTTCAAGGGAAACCAACCCAAAGTTTGGGGTTTCCCTATCTTGAGACAGACCCCATTGGGGATTGCTTGCATTTAAGTATTGGAATTGCTGGATGTTCCTGGGGTCAGATTCGATCCCCAGATGCCAATTAGTGAGTTTCCCCGTGGTTGATGCTGGGCTGGGCATAAGAATGCAGATGCGGTTCCTTGGGGAAATATCACTGGGCCATTGCGTGCCAAAGAGTTTAAGCGCAGGCCCCGAATTCATGGAGGGGGTTGCATTCTCGAGGCGGCAAGGTTGGAGCACGGCCCTCCGGATCTAGAGGCTAACGTTCAATGACTCACTCGGCCAAAATGACCTGCCCTAAGAAAGGATCCCGACATCCAGAAGACAGCGCCTGATCAAATTTTTGGGTGTTATTCATCAAAGCTTCCCGTTTCGGCATGCTGGGTCTCCTGAAGACTCTCTGGCCATCCCCTAGATGCCTTCGGCGGAGCACAAACCATACAGTCGCCTAAAACGGATGGGGCAAGCATAGCAAGCGCCGGTTCCCCAGGAACTTCCGCATGTTGGACCAACACGCTTGTGTTTGGATGATAGTGGTGCTGCCTGCAGGTAGTTGTCCAAGCTAACCACTCAACAAAGCCGTGCACAAGAGGCCTTGAGGCTTTGTCACTTCCCCTGCGCACGGCAACACACAGATTGCTTCGCCTATCCTCGAAGGCCCGGATCGTTTTCACCGCTTCCCTCGCGTGCTTATTCAATGGTCGCGGGCATAGATGTTTGGCTCGCTTCATTTTGCCATGCGCAGGGGAAGTGACGACACTGTGACACCACAAGGCCTTTTATGCACGGTTTGTTTAGTGGTTAGCTTGGACAACTACCTACAGGCAGCACCACTATCATCCAAACACAAGCGTGTTGGTCCAACATTCGGAAGTTCCTGGGGTTGTCATTCTTAGGCATAAGCATGAAACACAATCTGCACGTATGTTTTTTTGTGTAGGATTTTTGGGCCAAAGTGTCTGCTTTGGGCGGACGTTCACATATGTGTTTGTTTCAAGCCCCCCCCTTTAAACAACACACACACACAAAAAACATGTTTTGTGTTTTCCTTTAAGAAATCATCCCAACACGAGTAGCCCCAATACCAGACACACCCATGTAGGTGTGTTCTGTGTCTCGCCGCAGGTGGATGCTGTGCTCAAGGGATTCCTCACGGATTATCCCACCATCATCGGCTTTGTGGTCATCAACGCAGATGGCATCCCCACCAAATGGCCACTGGGACTGCGCAGAGTGACAGGTGTTTTTTTGTGCCTTTGAGGGGTCCCGTTGTCAAGGCGTGTTTATATATATATATACATGATTACTAGGTCCCCCACCTTTTTTGGGTCAAAACCAATGGGATCCCATTTTGGTTGGTAGGTGAATTCACCACCCATTTTAGAACCTATTTAAGTGGTTGGATTGGGATGTTCACTCGAGGTATGGGATTTTGAGGGAAACCAAAGGATCACCACCAATTTTTGAGGATACCGAAATGTGTAGTTGTGTGTGTTTTTTGCAGGTGCCGTTGTCAAGGCTTTTGTTTAAAACTAGGTCCCCCAGCAGTGCCCTTTTACACTTTTTTTGGGGGGGAGGGTTCCCCTTTCTAAAATAAAGGGGTACCCTTATTCTAACCTCTCCACTGGAGGACCTAGAAAAGGAAAACCAAAAGGATAACCACACATTTTCGGGATCTGCCGATTTTGACACATACCCAAATCCAGCCGCCGTGTTGTTCTTGTGGGGCCCCGTCGGGTGTCATAAGGGTCTGACTCAGATCTCGCATGTGTTTTCGTTGGAAAAAAGGTGTGTCCTGAGATTTGTGTGGGAAACCATAAAAGTGTTTTTGTTCTCGCTGCACCCTTTGAAGCTTGGTTTTGAAGGGCCACCAACACCGATCGCTTTGGGAATCCCCTTTTGAGACACGCCGAGCCGTCGAGACGTGAGGCACGAGAGCATGCCCTACGAACGAGCAGCGGCCTTGGATGTTCGACTCTTTGGGATTTGGGTCCCACTTTCTCAGGATGTCAACTTTTTGCTGAACATCGAGGCTAATGTTAACCCCGGAGAAATAAAACCCCTGCTTGATTTTGATCGGGGGGTGTCCAATTCCTTTTAGTCGGGAGTCAGACCACTTTTAGAGGGAACACCCCCCTAATAGTGGGACGGGTTTATTAATCCTGGGTGAACATTACCCTGGAAAACCAGGTCCATTTTTTTATGTGTTGCCTCATGCAGAGGGCACTGGTTGCCGAAAGCCTGTTTTGAAGCTACCAGCAAAGGGGGCGTACATTTTATTCCCAAGCGCGAGGAGCTTGCAAGCTCATTCATGAAGGGTTTGCTGAACTGAGCTATGTACAAGTTTTCTAGCTGGTCTGAGGTGGGTTGAATCTGGACTGGGGCTGGAGTTCAAATATGCGTGGCCCGGCCACTTCCTGCAGACTACTCCCAAAGAATGAACCTGCAAAGGGGCCCCGAAATGGGAGATTCCTCTAAACTTGGCGGCTGCCAGCCATCCGGTCCCTTAGCTTCTTAGCCTTCCAGTGTTTCGCGGTAATTTCCATTTACCCCACGAAAAGTTATTCACTCTTAGCCGGGGGGATCAGAAAACGGGCAGCCCAGCAAAATGCGGGCGTCTCACTCGGGCCCCCTTCCGCTGAGGCCGTGATCTACGCCGCTTTGATGTCCGACTTCATCGCCCACTGCAAGAAGAGCCTTCGGGCACCTTGATCTCTCAGCCCAGCTCTCCACTCCTCATATGTGTCCTTTCTGGTTAGTTTGCTAAAAAAAATAGGGGGCCCTGGTTTAGATGGGGTTTATTCCATTTACCAGGGAAACCCATCTATTCTTCCAAGAGGCCACCTATGCTCCTTCTATTGTTTGGCTTTGGGAAGGGGAGCTCTTTCAAACCAAGCAAGGTGAACAGGGTGTGTGGGGTGAAAAAAGATTATGGACCAGAGGTAATTCGGTGTTTTTGGGGAAGGGAGGCTCTTTCGTGCTCAATCCTCCAGACATTGGTCAGCAAGTTTTACCATTTGTGTTGTCAAATGTTCAGCTTGTTGATGTCGTCATCATGTTCGCCGCCCGGGAAATTGAAGCTGGCCACTTCTTTCAGCTCAGCTTAGCTCGAGCTTTCGTGGGATCCTTCACGGTCTTCCAGTCGTTTCCGAAGGAAGCATCACCAGGAGCCGCCTTTTCCGCGGCATGTCTGGGCCCCGCGTTGAGCCAACGGGGCTCAAAAAGTAAACAATTACCCATGGAAGTGTCTTTCTCGCTTTCCGAGTTCCTGGATTTGGCACTTTTTGGAAAGACCATAGTGGTAAATACAAAGTGTGAACTTTTTTTGGGCAGTCCACCCAGGAAGTGGGAGGCTGAATTTATGGTCTTGTGGTACCCCAAGCCCCCCCCCCCATACTCAACTTATTTCGGCACTGTTATTTTGCGGGTTGCAATTTGAGGGCCATACTTTCCGTCGTGGATTGATTTGCGCAAGGCTCCCTTGGGCAGGGATCAGGTTCGCTCAAATGTGCCCGGTAATCACGGAGAGGGCCGCTTACCAAATTTCACCCAAACCCAGGGCGACGGACCACTACAGCATTGACGGGTGAGCAGTTGTCAGGTTGAATCAGAAACTCGTGGCAATGCGAAATCAAATTACCTCATTGGCCAGGTATTGGCCTGGATTTCGGAGGAAGCTGTCCTCCTTCAATGTGTTGATTGGGTTTGTCCCACAAAATGGGGGGACCATGCTTCTTGTTCCTTGTGGCTTCCCTTTGATACCAACCAAAAGGGGTTCTAGAAACAGAGACCCACCCAGAGTATGATTTTCCTTGGAAAGCGGCTAGTTGGGAGTGAAGCTCCCCCCTGTCTCTAGCTTTAAGCACCCCCACCTGATTGCGTAAGTTGATGTTTGAAGGGGAAGCGAGAGGAGCTGTGGCAAAGTTTGCAGAAACTTGTCACATCACATGGCTTTGCTACTGGTACATGTTTTTTGGCGATTTAGCGTTGAGGGAACTAATATCAGGGGTTGGGCGTACGTCAAGGCCTAGATGTTCCAACTTGGCCGAGGATAACTTGACGTTTTGGGAACTCCTCGCTTCGAACATTCGAACTGTGCGTAACTTAGGGGCTGCTGACTGGCCCGGCAGCCTCTTGGCCGCAGTCTTCGGTTCGGTCTTGGGTGCTTCCCTTGGTAAGGGGAGACCTTCAGGCCGCCCAGCCGGCAAACAGTTTTTCAGAAGCCGATTGAGAACCGCTTCTAAGGTAAGAAACTTGTCTGAGGGGCGGCGGGGCTGTTTTTTTCCTGTGTCGGGGGGGCGACCTGCCCGAAACATGTGAGGGAATTAGTGGTGGTTGTTTCGTTCCAGAACTTGCGCTGCCATCCACTCGGGAAGCGAGTGCGGTCTTTTTTACGTGGTAGATGGGACACCTACACCACCATACAGCAAGATCGTCCCTACGCGTGAAGTATACAGCGCACTGGCACGAGTTTGGAACATGGCTTTGTCCAACATGGCGATGCTGTTCAGCACTTGGTGCAGAAGTTTGAACATGCAGAAGTCGCTAGGGAAGTTCAAGCTGTTGAGTTCTGCTGGGGTTGCCGCTTGTTTCATTAAACTTCCATTTGCTTAAGAAAGTTGTTTTTTCTCGTTTTTATTATTATTATTGTTATTATTATTATTGTTTTTGGTACTGTCCCCCGTTGGTTTGAAAGGGAACCTATCACTACTGGACATAGTTTTACTTTTTCCGGGGGGCGACAGCGCAAATGGCAGTACACCCAAGTTCCTCAGGAGAGCGAGCTGGCCAACGTGCGCTTGCGCACGAAGGAGGGCACCGAGATCATCTGCGCCGCCCGGCGGGTTGTCATCGGGGTGACAGTGGCACAAGTCGATTTGTTGTTTTTTGGTTGAGTCTTCCCATTACTCATTACAGGGCTCCTTAAAAGACACATGTTGACCATTTGAAACATGGCTTTTTCCAGCAAAATAAAGGGAAACCACCATTTACAAGGCAATGTTCAGGTGTATATTGTAAGGATCCCTGTCAAAGTTCCCTTGTGTGTTGATTGGGGAAGACTCAAAGAAGAAAAACATTCCCTTGTGCACAGGTTGCCACTTCCCAGTCACTCAAACAAGGAAAACACAAGGAGTCGAAATCCATATCGTACCCCCAGTGAACATCCCCATCCAACCACTAAAACAGGTTCCAAAATGGGTGGTGAATTCACCTACCAACCAAAATGATTTATAATGGTACCATTGGTTTAGACCCACAGCCATATTGGTTCAGTCTCCCCTTGACTCAAAGCTCCCTGTGTTTTCCCTTGTGTTTGTTTCTGGGGTTCTGAGAGCCATGGCGAATCCACCGCCCAGCCCGCCCGAATGAATCGCTCGCTCGCCGCTTTTTCCGCTTGGCTCAGGTGACTCAGACGGAGTACACCTTGGTAGTGATCCAGAACTGCACTGGCAAGCCGTGGGTGCAGGATGAGGAGGCGGCCGGTGCCGCTGGCCCTTTGGCACATGGATCGAGCCAAAGGGGAATCGTTTGGTGGATTTGTCGGTGTCCCTGGGTTCAGTGGGAAATCATCACTTTTTGGAACGCCCCCACCCCCTTATCAATGAACTAGGGTTGTTTAGTATGGGGTCAATCAACATTATGCCCATGATTGTTTTGAGACCCTTTTGGGAGTTGTGAAATGAACTCAAGAGAAAACCATTGCTTGTTAGGGGGTCCTAATTTCTATTTTGACACATACCCATGACTCTCCCTGGGGTTGGGAGGTGGTAAGAGGGACAGGGAAGGCCTTTTTTTCGCCGGTTTGCTGTATCCCGCTTTGGAGAATTTCAAAGGCACACCAGGCAAACCATTGGGCAAAAGCTGGGGTGCTGCAGGGCTCCTTAAAATATCTCCATTTTGCGCATTTGAAGCATGGCTTTTTCCGGCAAAAAAAAAATTGAACCCACCATTTACGAGGCAATGCTCAGGTGTATAATTATGTAAGGGTCCCTGTGTTGATAGCTTCGGGATGAGCCGATGTGTCGATCCCAAGGTGGAGGTGAAGCTGGCGCGTGAGAGGCTGTCATTGGTGGACTGCGCTGCGTGTGGAGGTTTCTCCAAATAGGAGTCGGTCCCCAAAATGGTTGGTGTCCTTTTCAAGAAACAATCCAACCAAAATGGATTCCTTAAATGGTGGTTCCCTGAAATGGCTGGTCCCTAAAATGGTTTGCTTCCTTCCGGCGTCCTTGGAAATGCCAAGCCAAAGGCTGTCCACCATTTTGAGAAAGAAACATGTGGGTGCTTCATGGTGGACGTTACCAACTTTCAAGGGTTTCAGGTGCCACTACAAAGACACCGTATTTACCAGTCAGGACCATTTAAAGACCAGGGAGAAAGCAACGCCCCCTAAATCAGACCCGTTGGGGGGACCTGAGCGCCCACCCCTATTTCAAAACAAACCCACACACACACACACACACACACGAGAAAGCCCGCCAAAACCTGAAGGTGTCTTCAACATTTCCTTGTTATTTGTTGCTTTTCAGGAGCTCTAACAATGCCAGTTTCATAGGAACCCACCAGACGCAAAAGCAAATCTTGAAGGGAACATCCAGGGATCCAATACTGCAAACCTTGAAATGGCTGGTTTGCCTTTGATTGCCCCAAGAAAAGCCAAGCAGGAGCTTGCACATGTTATAGGTGCTTCATCTATCCTAGTGATTCCAGATGCCAGGTAGGGAACCAGTGCGAACCATCATGTAAACCTAAAGGTGGCACACCCTCCTTACCATAGGTGTCCTTTGGTTGTGTTGGTGGAAAAATAGATGGCGATTCGTGGTTTACTTGGTGGTTTAATGCTATTTACCCTATGCTACCGTTCATTTCGGTCTCCCTTTTAGCAGCCATCCTTCACGGGCTCGCGATTTTTTGGGCCATGTCCTCGCAGCGCAGCCCGCCGAAGCTCGCTGCTAGGCGCAAAAGGACAGCTGCTGATCAACATGGATGTGATGTTTGGGGTAGACTTAGGATACATTTTGCATTTGACCAGTGACTCCATGTGAAGCAAACAATAAAATATATATTCTAGAACTGGGCCTAACTCTGATCATGTTATGTTTGGGGACTGTTTCTAGATGGAATCTACATGGATAACACATTTTCTAACTTTTGGTTTATGTTTCTTGTTGGCTCCCAGCCATCCAGTTCCTTTCTGCTTTTTAGGCTTTTAGAGTTTAGTGGTTGGATTTGCATTTGACCCACTCAAAGTTGTATTGTTTCTCAGGCTGTTTTGAGATGGAGTCTAAAGGGACAACACATTCTGTAGGCTTTTGGTTTCAGGTTGCCAAACAGCCTAGAGGGACAACACATTCTGTAGGCTTTTGGTTTCAGGTTGCCACTTCTGTGATATCAAGGAAATCACCCAAACAGTCTAAAGCGACAACATGTTCTGTCGGCTTTTGGTTTCAGGTTGCCACTTCTGTGATATCAAGGAAATCGCCCAAACAGTCTAGAGGGACAACACATGCTGTAGGCTTTTGGTTTCAGTTTGCCACTTCTGTGATATCAAGCAAATCGCCCAAGCAGTCTAGAGGGACAACACATTCTGTAGGCTTTTGGTTTCAGGTTGCCACTTCTGTGACATCAAGGAAATCGCCCAAACAGTCTAAAGGGACAACATGTTCTGCAGGCTTTTAGTTTCAGGTTGCCACTTCTGTGATATCAAGGAAATCGCCCAAACAGTCTAGAGGGACAACACATTCTGTCTGTAGGCTTTTGGTTTCAGGTTGCCACTTCTGTGATATCAAGGAAATCACCCAAACAGTCTAGAGGGACAACACATTCTGTAGGCTTTTGGTTTCAGGTTGCCACTTCTGTGACATCAAGGAACTCGCCCAAACAGACTAAAGGGACAACACATTCTGTAGGCTTTTGGTTTCAGGTTGCCACTTCTGTGATATGAAGGAAATCACCCAAACAGTCTAAAGGGACAACATGCTCTGTAGGCTGTTGGTTTCAGGTTGCCACTTCTGTGATATCAAGGAAATCGCCCAAACAGTCTAAAGGGACAACATGTTCTGTAGGCTCTTGGTTTCAGGTTGCCACTTCTGTGATATCAAGGAAATCGCCCAAACAGTCTAGAGGGACAACACATTCTGTAGGCTTTTGGTTTCAGGTTGCCACTTCTGTGACATCAAGGAAATCGCCCAAACAGTCTAAAGGGACAACATGTTCTGCAGGCTTTTGGTTTCAGGTTGCCACTTCTGTGATATCAAGGAAATCGCCCAAACAGTCTAGAGGGACAACACATTCTGTCTGTAGGCTTTTGGTTTCAGGTTGCCACTTCTGTGATATCAAGGAAATCACCCAAACAGTCTAGAGGGACAACACATTCTGTAGGCTTTTGGTTTCAGGTTGCCACTTCTGTGATATCAAGGAAATCGCCCAAACAGTCTAGAGGCACAACACATTCTGTAGGCTTTTGGTTTCAGGTTGCCACTTCTGTGATATGAAGGAAATCGCCCAAACAGTCTAAAGGGACAACATGTTCTGTAGGCTTTTGGTTTCAGGTTGCCACTTCTGTGATATCAAGGAAATCGCCCAAACAGTCTAAAGGGACAACACATGCTGTAGGCTTTTGGTTTCAGGTTGCCACTTCTGTGATATCAAGGAAATCGCCCAAACAGTCTAGAGGGACAACACATTCTGTAAGGCTTTTGGTTTGAGGTTGTCAACGAAATCGCCCAAGCAAAGTTGATCAAGTACTTATGCTGGATGTTGCAGAAGGCGCTTCTGACATACAAAGAGAGAAGCGTCTCCCCAGCTGGGCAACTGGAGCCAAGTTGTGAGCGCCTCGCTGGTGTCACTTTGCCTGAAACTGTGGGCGTGTTTCACCACGAATTTGCACATGCCCAGCGATCGATCTGGACAAAACATGAGACACGTGAGAGGAGAGAGAGAGAGAGAGAGAGAGAGAGAGAGAGAGAGAGAGAGAGAGAGAGAGAGGGGAGAGTTTTGGCGCATGGAGGGCATGATGTTTTTTTTTTCTTGTCCCAGTCGCCCTGTGGGTTGCTTCCTTGTTTCAACATTGTTTTGAGAAGGGTTCCCTTTAAACTCAGCCAACAAAAAAACGATGCCCTGTTTTCCCCCTGGCCACTGGGCAGCTGAGTTGTTTCACTTTGTTTAACTTCACTGCGCTCACTGGCAGAATGTTGACTTGACTTTCCTCCACGATGACGGCTCTCAACCAAGCCAAAGAGGCAGAAAGCAGCGTGTCTGCGGTAAGCACACACAAAAGCATTGTAAAACCTTGAGTCTACAGAGCCTCGTAGTTCACCTTTCAGTTGAAGCTGGAAGCACTGGTCACTCCTTGTAGAGGGAAGCTCGATTTTCCGACCCAACCGAAAAAGGAAAGCTTCATGCCAGGAAATCTCCGTAGTAGCTCCACAAACGATCCTATTCGCTTCTTGTCGAATCTTGCTGGAAGTCAGCTTTCCTTTGAGGGGTGCCTCCATAGTCGGAGAGTTCCAATTGGCAAACCTTTGGACATGTCAACAGGTTCAAAAAGGTTCAGGGTTTAAAGGTCAGTGTTGAAGGAGCAATGGCGCTCACTTTTGCGGCTGACGAGGAATAAGGAGTACGAAACACCTATGGGTCAATTGGGGACGTCGCAAGAACGTAGGAGTCGCTGTTGAGCCAGGTCACATTGGTGTCCAGTGACCCTCAAAGTCAAACTCCAACAGCGGCACTAAGGAATCAGTCAAGCCGCCCATGGAACTCATAGGCTGATTGAAGGCACTCCGGAAGATCTGTGTTCTGTGCAAAAAATGGGACATTTCTGGCGCTTCCCCAGTTGCAACCAGTCCAGTCGCGTTGTTTGCAATTGTTTGCCAGGTCCCAGACCGAGCCGGCGCCTCACCCGTCAGGTGCGGGGAAACAAAGTTGCCGGAAAACAACGGATGAATTTAAACGGAAACCAACTTTGGAGGTTTGGGGGGCAGGGGGTTTGGGGGGGAAAGGGTTGAGAGGGTTGAAACCAATTGGCAGAACGGCCATTCAAAAGGGAACTGACATGGAGGTGGGTTGTCAAATGGCAAGATCGATATTTCGGTCCCAACTACAGAAAGGCCGCCACAAAAGATGAAATCAGTTCAAAGAAGGGTTCCCTGTTCTGAACAAACTTCCAAGCACAAAGTTAGATACACAGCTGCGTCTAATGTTGCACACGTTTCCGCCGTGAGCGACTGATGGTTCGTTGTTTCCTTGGTTCACTTGTAGCCTTTGCCTTTTTAGGGGCTCATGTGTAACCCCAGCATGATTTTGGGAGCCTTGGGAACACGCTTCGAGTTTTAGCATGCCCAACTCAATCAATAAATATCAGCCTTTGACCGGGGAGCTTGGCCAGAAGGCCGCTTATTTGTTCGGCTTGGGCGAGTTCTGGCCAGAGCTTTTGACAGACTTGTTGCATGACAGACTTGTTGCAATATGTCCCCTATGGATTGAGATTGGCCAACCCGCAGTTTGAAGAACCCAAGCGGCTGACATAAAGTGTATGTTGCGGATTCACGAGGCACAGTCTTGAAGGCCTGTGGTGGGCATGTTTCTGCAAAAAGCCCGGTCAAAGGGGGTGGTGACTGGAAGCACTGGGGCTTTAAGCTGGCCGCCACTGCCCCCCAAACCACTTCTGCCAGGAGAAAGTTAAGTTATGTGTATATCTACATACATTGTGTGTATGCCCCTGTATATATATATATATATATTAGTATATGTGTGTACATATATGTATATACAGACACACATATATATATATATATATGTAGATATGTATATATATATATGTAGATGTACACCTGTATATTTGGATGGTCATCCGTTTTTGTCCCAAGCCGGTGAAGCACGGCTGCCAAGCGCCAGGGAGCTTCGAGCCCGAGCCCTTGGAAGCCGCTGAGCCCAGCGACGCGCCCAAGGCGCCCAAGGCCGGGCGACGGGCGACGGGGACGTCGGTCGGTCGGTCGGTCGGGCGGGGGCAGCTGCAGTTGCCAAAGCCTGGGGGGCGGGTCATGGGGTGAAGTTTCCAATTCCTTTTTGGGGTAGGGAAATGTAGGGAATTATTTTTATGGAGTTTTGTTTTGTAGGGCTTTTGTTTGTTTTATGATTGTTGTTGGTCAGCATTTTGACATGTTGGCGTATTGTGGTTTGGTGGTTGGAATCCAACCACTTAACTGCGAAAATGTATTTGTTTGCTCCCCTTCCAAGGTCAACCGAGTTTTGGGGTAGGGTAATGTAGGGAAACCAAAGGTGGCGGCAGTTGGAGGTTCATCAATGTTGGGAAGGTTGGTCCGCTGCTTTGGGGTTCAAGGGAAACCAAAATGACCGGTTGGGTACCCAAAGCTGTGCAACACACATGGAGAAATATCAATCTGAGTTCCACATGTCTTCACAACTGGAAGAATCAATCCAAGCCAACCCCAAGACCCCAAGCTCCATGTCAATTTGCAGGGGTGGGTTTTGCGGCCTCCAAAGGAAAGTGGAATGTCTTTCGAATCTGTCGCCCTTGAAGGAAACCGAGGTATGAAAAAGCGGCTTTGGGTCCAAACCATTGCCACCAACAGAGCAAGCAAAGCTTTCACTCCCTGGCATTGCTGCCATGGCTTTGTCCCTTGAAGCATCTTTGACCATCAGGCCCCCTTCCCAGAAGAGTTTCCTCAAACGGAGTGAATTCTGTTCTTTGCAAGGCTGGGATCAAGATACTTCCCGTCAACGCGCTTCCAAAAGTACTTCTGGGATTTCGGGATTTGAATAAGGAGTTTTCCCTTGTTGCTGGGCTGATGTTCTTGGGCATGACCCAGAGTCGGACGCAATTCTCTGGCTTGGGCCCACCAGACAGTTTGGAAATACCGGCAACTGCAGATATGCAGTGTCAACGTGGTGGACTATGATTTTTTCGCAGCCAAGGCTGAGGGGTTCCTAAGAAGATGGATGTGTCTTTTTTGAGGGTTCCCATTGGGTTGAATTTTAAGGGAAGCCAAAAAGAAACCGCCCATCAAAGTTGCCCCAATTCGAGACGACCCAAAAAGGCCAAGGCAAGCGGTCGGAGGTCGAAGGGCCTCGCGCCTTGCGGCTCGCTTCAGGCCATTGGCATCTTTGGGGCCAGCTTCCAACGCGTGGAGCGGCGTAGCGATTGCGTCGGGGCGCATAGCGAAGGGTCGAAGTGGATGGAGTGAGATGTGCGTTGGGTGGGATTCGTCGCTTTTTGAGCATTTCCTTGCCCCCTGCCACTTCTGGTTATCTTCATCTTCTTATTATTCTTCTTCTTCTTCATTTTTTTTGGGGGGGATTCATCAAATCGAACACGCGAGCAAGGCTGGCGTGTCCTTTCGAAAAGTCGGTTGCTATGGTATGCGGTTTTGCGTATTTGCGTACTGCTTCGGCGCTGTCCGGGGGCCCACGGAGGTTGTTGACTAGGTCCCCCAGTAGTGCCCTTTTACCGTTTTCCTTTTTTGGGGGAGGGTTCCCCTGGTAAAACAGACTACAGAAAAAAGGTTACCATCATTCTAACCTCTCACTGGAGGACCTAGTTGAAGCCTCCAAGCCTCCCAGCAACTGCTCAAGCGATCGATTTCGATAGCTTTAAGGCTGACCCCTCTGATTCTCGGTCATACTTGGCCCCACCTTCGATCAACTTTTTTGAGAATAGGGACACATGGTTGGTCAATCTGGGATGGCCATGCTTTGGGAGGAGCAGATGTCCTGGCGCAGAGTGGTTGGCATTCCTTGTGGCCAGTTTCCTTGTTGTTGCATTCTACCACTCGTAAAACGACCGTTTCAATGTTGAAGCAGGTTGTGTCGGTATCCTTTGGAGCGTCGGACCTGGATATTATCCCATCGCAACTTGGCCGGCTTGGAGTGAAAGCTGACGGGGCAAGAGGTTCCCCGGAGGTGACCCGCTGCGCTTTCCTTGGACCACCGCTTGAAAGCGACAAAGAAGTCATGGGGAGGGGAAATCCACTGTGATACTGTGGATGGACAAAATCCTGCATCACTTTGGATCCATAGGAAACCAATGTTTTTTGGTATTTATCATCGCTCCAGGGTTTCTCAGGTGGTGCAGCATTTGGTCCACCCACAGTATCTCAAGAGTTGGTGTCGACAACCATGCACACAGGTCCTACTTGGCGGGCATATTGGCGGGTCCTCTATAGCTCCAGATCGCGGCCCACGTTCGAAGAAAACGGCTTTCGGCCTGCTTGAAAAGTAACCCGTGAAGGGAAGGACCTTTTCGAGCTACTGCTTTTGTGTGTGACCTTGAGTCAAGAACGACTGTTGCCTTTTGACTAACGTCTTTGTCCTGTTGGAGGCATCTCCCCTCAAAGCATCCCACATTGCTTTGTTCTTCAATGAAAAAGACTAAATCTCGGAATTGAACTCCACTCGCTTCACGGCCCAACATGTTTTTTCCAGCAGTTGTTTCAATTCAACGGAAATCCCGGAATTGATTTCCACTCGCTCCACGGCCCCCCTTCTTGTTGCAGCCATTCTTGTTGCAGCCATTTGAACCCGGCTCACTTAGAAATCCCAAGCCTTGGCCCGTGGTGGTGACAAAGCCATGGCCAAGCTTCTTTCGCTTTTGGCGGTCGCTCAGCTTGGGGCGGCCATCGACAATGGCCTGGGCAGGACGCCGCCGCGGCTCGGATGGGTGGGCCTGGGGGGTTTGGGGGTTTGGCTGTGTGCGCGGGGCGGGGGTTGTAGGGGGGGGGGGTTCTGACAGCTGGGTGTATGGGGCGGGGGTTGCTGGGGGTTCTGACTACTGGGTGCGTGGGGCTTCTGGTTTCGGACACCCTGTGGTTTCATCTTCTTTCCATGTGCCCAGGGGGGGAGCCTCAAAGCAAGCGACCGAACAGAATCCCAACCATAAGAACTCACAAAGGAGTTGACTAGCTGCGCCATGTCCATCAGGGCAACGGCATGCATTTCACAAGGCACCCCATCTAGTTATCTATCACGCGCGTTTTGTCCACACATTCCAAGCCTCGGCCTGAACTTGTTTGAGCCTTGCCCAAGTAGATGACGAACTCACTCAACAAAAGCTTAGAGTTGGCCAACTCAACAAAACATGCCAAGTGTACCTTAGGGTAATCAATCGTGGAACCGTGTTTGAGCCAAAACCAGAGCTTCGGGAAGGTTTTCTCCAACCGCTGCAACCCATTCTATAGATTTGTGCCCGAGTCTTTGTTTGCAAGTGATACTTGTGTGTATTCCCGAATGAGCAAACCTCTGTCTTTTTGTTTCCCTTGAAACCAACCCCTTAAAAAAAGAAAAATACAGTACCCACATGCATCCCAGCTGCAAGATTCCAGAAAGGCTTGGGTGGCGATCTTGGAACCTCTACAACCGCAACGTGAACCAGTCCCTCATGGAGGCCATCATGGATGGCATGGTGTCGAAGAAACGGCAAGTGGACGGCGTGCCGACCTCCTTGTGCGACTTGGGCTACTGCGATGTCGGCCTCGATGACAACTGGCAGAATTGCGACGGTGGTCAGCGCCTTTGCTTTCGACTGGCTTTGGTGGGATGTGTCTATTGGTGGTTCATTGCCGGCAGCACGTCGCATACATAATTAACTTGTTCTTGTTTGCTCTCTTGGCAAGTTCAGGGCATGATTAAGCATTGTGCGTTTCTCCAATAAACTACGATGGGTACCACTACCCCGCCTCCCATTTTTGTTTGTTTACCCCCACTTGGGTAATTACCCTCCCACCAATTAGCGTGGAACCTGACGTTCGGGGGTATTTCTTTGAAAGGAAAATAATTAGTCTTCCCGGACCCCCCCGAAACGTCAGGTTCCATGTTTTCATTGGTCCCGTGGTACTGGAGCCCATGGAAGGAAGTACCACTACCACGGCGACTCGGGCATTCCCATCATCAATCAGTCCCGCTTCCCCGACATGGTGGCCATGACCGCCCACGCCCATCGCTTGGGCCTCACGGCGGGCTGGTATTTGAACAACTGCATCTGCTCAGAAGGCGGGCGCTGGGTCAAAGGATGCAACTCTAGGACATGTCGAAAGCCAAGATGAATCCTAGGGGTTGATGCCTTGTCCATTCTTTTCAGCCATGGTTCTTTTCAACAAGCAAGCCAATGTTGCAGGGCTCTTTGTGGTTTTCTAGAAAGAAGGATCCCTGGAAAGAATGGGGAGGTTACCCCTAGAACGATACCAGCTGAACCTTTCAGAACCTCTGACTTACCGCGAAGCGGATCCCCTTTCTTCGGCCTCGTGGTGTCCTCTTAAACCAAGCCGCAAAGCCCCACCCTCACGAAACGCGCACACAACCAACCAACCGTCCCCCAAAAGAGCAGCCCGGAGACCAATGATCCCTTTG